GTCTGTATGTCTGTGTCTGTGTGTCTGTATGTCTGTGTATGTGTGTGTCTGTATGTATGTGTGTGTATATGTGTCTGTATGTCTGTGTATGTGTGTGTATATGTGTCTGTATGTCTGTGTATGTGTGTGTCTGTGTGTGTCTGTGTATGTGTGTGTATATGTGTCTATTTGTCTGTGTATGTGTGTGTATATGTGTCTGTATGTCTGTGTATGTGTGTGTCTGTGTGTGTCTGTATGTCTGTGTATGTGTGTGTAAATGTGTCTGTATGTCTGTGTATGTGTGTGTAAATGTGTCTGTATGTCTGTGTATGTGTGTGTATATGTGTCTGTATGTCTGTGTATGTGTGTGTATATGTGTCTGTATGTCTGTGTATGTGTACGTCTGTGTGTGTCTGTGTATGTGTGTGTATATGTGTCTGTATGTCTGTGTATGTGTGTGTCTGTGTGTGTCTGTGTATGTGTGTGTATATGTGTCTATTTGTCTGTATGGAAGTTATGTGGTAGACTCTTGATGTCAGTTTATTTATTATTTTATTTATTAATCTTTATTAAGGACACAATACAACACGGTCCATAGTTAAAAAAAACCAAAGAAAAAATATATACAAGAAAACAAACCAAAGAGAACATTACAGCTGCTGAACAGTATAAAGGCATAACCTCCAGTAAGTCCATAATTTGGAGGTGAACAGCAGTGAGCAGAACTCGGGGCTGACGAGAGTCTTAACAATCACATTAATAGAGTTCCTCAGACGACACATAAATCTGAACTGAACATTTCGAAGAGATGCAGAAACAAGATCGAACACCACAGTAAGCAAACATCTCACTTGCGCTGCTGTGCCGAGGAACCTTCAGCAGCAGCCTCAAGGAGTTGTTATAGGCCACAGTGAGTTTCTGCAAACTGGACTTTTTAAAACTCTTCCAAAGGTAAGCAGTGTACATAGGTGAGCAGTAAGATTTAAAAAGAGTTACCTTTACCTCAGGAGAGCACATACTAAACTTACGTAGCAGCATATTTGATTGGCCATATAACTGACACAGCTGCCTGTGCATGTCCTTGTCATCAGAAAGGTCACTGGTGATGTAGTGACCGAGGTATTTCACCTCATCTGCAGATTCCAAAAGGTTTCCGGAAAGGAAAAAATCAGGAAAACATAATTTACTGTCATCTTTAGTACGCGCAATCATTACCAGGCTTTTTGCAGCGTTATATTTGATATTATGATCCAAACCATATTGAGAGCACACATTAAGTAGTTGCTGAAGACCAGCACTGCAGGGACTGAACACCACCAGATCGTCTGCGTACATGAGGTGATTATATCTGCTGTAACCAACACTGCATCCTGTGGTACAGGTGTTCAGTTGCACCGACAGGTCATCCATGTACACATTAAACAACATGGGAGAGAGAATCCCTCCCTGACGAACCCCATTAGAGACTCTGAAGGAGTCAGAAAGAGCCTCCCCCCATTTCACCTGCATGGTCTGCTCCGAATACCAAAAAATAAGCAGTCTGATCAGATACCCAGGAACTCCACGCTTTGACAGTTTCGAAAACAATTTCTCATGATCAATTCTGTCAAAAGCCTTGGAGGCATCTAGAAAACACACAAACATTGTAGAGCCCTGACAATGATATTTATCTAAAAGTTCCTTCAGTACAAAAATACAAGTGTCTGTACCATGGCCAGATTTAAAACCAAACTGGTTAAAAGTTGTACTTAAAAAAGGTTCAAGTCTATTTAAAATCACAGTCTCAAGAACTTTGGAAACGATGCTAGCCAAAGCTATAGGACGATAGTTAGCTGAGCTAGTCAGTTTTCCTGCTTTGTCTTTAATAACAGGGACCAGCAGAACTGACAGAAGAGATTCAGGCAGACTACCATGAACCATGAATCCAGTGAAACACAGGGCCAGCAGAGGGTACATATTCTTACTTGCAAATTTGAGGTGTTCAGATGTGATATTATCTGAGCCACATGACTTTTTACTTTTGAGTTTGTGGACAACATTAAAAACCTCTTGTGGCGTTACTATTGAACCTGCATTGTTTAAAATAGAACCTACAATGGGAGCTTTTCCCTTAATACAATTAAAGAGATCAAAGTAAAATTCTTTCCATAATTGACAAATATTTTGTGAGCCACTCACTCCATCCACAACCGAAGGGAGGGAGGTGTTGCTGTTACTCATCATTCTTATCTCCTTCCAAAAGTCACTGCAGGTGTTGTCTTGGAGCTTAGATGCCAGAGATTCAGCCCTAAGACGCTGTTCATTCTTTTTTATGTACCTCAGACTGTATTTGTATCTTGCATTTGCATATTTCTTGTTTTCAAACAGAGGTCCACTCCTGCATCTCCCTGCATCCACCCAAGCTTTGAATGCAGCACGGGCCTCAGCATGAGCCTCACCTACGTGCCTATTCCAACCGGGCTTTCCACAGGGGGAGCGTATCTTGTTTGGACAGGGTTTCCCAGAACTTATAAGGGCTTCCAGAATTTTACAATAAAACAAATCCAGTTGGGTAGAATGTTCATGATTTGTACAGTTCATATCACGGCATAAAATAGCATCCCTCGGCAGATCAATATGTCCAAGATTAACATGTGTTCTCCGAGTATATGCACAGATGTCCTCACAAGTAAGCTTAGACCAGTCCACTCTCTCGCAATATACAGACGGCCCTAAAGAAGTAATCAAGGGAACACTACCCAGGTTACTGTATTGTACATTTCTAACAAATGAGCTTATAGGTCATGGTCTGTGTGTTAACCAATGAGAGAGCACACACCATGGACACCAGAGACACCATGGACACCAGAGACACCATGGACACCAGAGACACCATGGACACCAGAGACACCAGAGACACCATGGACACCAGAGACACCATGGACACCAGAGACACCAGAGACACCATGGACACCAGTGACACCAGAGACACCATGGACACCAGAGCCACCAGAGACACCATGGACACCAGTGACACCATGGACACCAGAGACACCATGGACACCAGAGACACCAGAGAGAGGAGAAGGTGCACCAGAAGCCACCGATGCTAGTGCCAAAGCTGTCCTGAGCGTCAGCGATGAATGTATAAGTACTGAGGTAGCTAACCTTCTGAACATATAAATATGAACAGAAAGAGTCTTGTAAAAGTAAAATGTGACCACAACATTTTTTATTTAAAACCTTTGTAGCTTTTAAAACATCTTTTGTGTTTTATAATTTAGGAATGTCCATCTTGTCTTCTTAGAACTAAAGGTATTTGGAGGTAATAACATCGCTATCGTACTATTGTCTGGTAAAGAAGAACCTTTATTTATTTTGTACGTACTGATGTAAGAAAGAGGCTTCGAGTCAGTATTTTATAGATTTAAGGTTTTCTGTCTGAAAAAGCAGATATAAAGATGTGACACAAATACATAGTTGTGAAAACAAGTGATAGAACTGTTTGAGAGTAATCGAGACCCCTGTTTTAAGTACTTAAAGTAGCACTAAAACTAAAAAAGGTCTCGTTATGATTTTCAAATCATTGATTCTCAACAACATTGATTTGTTGTTGACAAAACTCTTGTCTATTCAGCTGTTATGGTCCCAGCTGGATTCGTCTGCATATCTGGCAACCTGAGTCAGGGAGAGTGGGAGAGGCTGCAGTACCACTTTTGGCCACACGTTTACACACTGCTCCTTTAAGTATCTTTTAGAACATAATAATATTGTATAATTTGAAAGCAATGAGAAAAAAGTCCGAGGCATTTTAATAATAATCCTTCAATATTATATTTTCTCATCGTTTTCTACTTAGTAAGTAAGTGAGTAAGTAATCTTTATTTATATACCGCCTTTTCACTGCACATCGGAGTCTCAAAGCGGTTTACAATTGTTATTTTTTGGGAGTGGGGCCAGTACAGGAGGCACATGCCAGAACTATTGTACATATTTTTAGTGGTAGGGGAAACCGGAGCACCCGGAGGAAACCTACGCAGACACGGGGAGAACATGCAAACTCCACTCAGAAAGGCCCTGGTCCAACCGGGATTCGAACCCAGGACCTTCTTGCTGAGAGGCGAGAGTGCTATCCACTCAGCCACCGTGCCGCCCGTGCCGCTTAGGGATTCCTACGGCACCTGACCACTCACATTTACCCAGTATTTTTTTGATCCCTGTATGCACTCCCTCCTCGTGCATATTGTATAATTAGTAGTTTTTAGGTAAAATCTGACCACACAATAAACAGTAAATGAGACTTTTGCCTGTGAATGATCCAGAACAAGAAGCATTGCCACAGTTCTACAGCGGCCCGTATGTCCTTGTGTCTGTGGAGCTGCAGGACAGTGGCGGTCCTTCAGCCCGGGCTCGGTGTTTCCATGACCACGGCTCTTCCACAGTTTGGAGACAGACGCTGAATGTTAAATCTTTTCCCAGCGATGCCCCGTCTGTGAGTCCGTCCACACGCAGAGTTTGGGCTGTAGGTTGTTCCTCTTCGGCAGCTCATTAGCAAGTGAAAGAAGGCGGCATTCTTGGGTTTGTTTGATGCTTTGGTTTGTCGTGAAATCATTAATTTTGCTTTTTATAGCTCTTTGCAAAACAGCTGTGCCCGCCGATTTCTGGTTAGGTTGAATCACAGTAAATCATAAAAGAGAAATCAGCCTTTGAATAACTACTGCTTTTTGAAAATCATACTTACAGCAGCAGTAACTCCAGTGTTTCAGTAGGAAACAGTATAAATTATGTAAAAACACATGGACAGTACTTTGACATTATATTTTACTTGTGTTGTAACGCCTCTAGAGTCATAAACAAGCCTTAAATATTGAAGATAAAAAGCCTCACAGTAACATCTTGGAAAAGTAGGATTTTTGTGTTGAATACTTAGACTTTTCTCAAACTTGTGTCCGGTAACTATAGAGAAATACTCTCTGTAAGATCCTTGAGAATAGCCTCTGATACAGCTAGTGCCACACCCCCTCAGGCTGACCCCACCACCTTCAGACTGAACACGCCCCCTCAGGCTGAACACGCCCCCTCAGGCTGACCAACACCCCCTTCAGACGGGGAACACGCCCCCTCAGGCTGACCACACCCCCTTCAGACTGAACACACCCCCTCAGGCTGACCACACCCCCTTCAGACTGAACACGCCCCCTCAGGCTGACTACACCCCCTAATGCTGACCACACCCCCTTTAGACTGATCACGCCCCTCAGACTGACCACGCCTCCTCAGACTGACCACACCCTCCTTTAGACTGACCCCGCCTCCTCAGACTGACTACATCCCCTAATGCTGACCACACCCCCTTTAGACTGACCACGCCCCTCAGACTGACTACATCCCCTAATGCTGACCACACCCCCTTTAGACTGATCACGCCCCTCAGACTGACCACGCCTCCTCAGACTGACCACACCCCCCTTTAGACTGACCACGCCTCCTCAGACTGACTACATCCCCTAAGGCTGACAACACCACCAACAATCTTGAAAACAAATATATTATATGTATTATAGCCGTTAAGTGACATTTAAGTCAAATCAAAATAACAGTAGAATAGAAGAGGGTATTCTTCTGTTTCATTTACCGTGTGTGTTTCAGTTTTTATTACAGAAATCTAGTGCTAAAATAACATTCTGACTTCACTACTACTACCACTACTACTACTACCACTACTACCACTACTACTACTACTACCACTACCACTACTACTACTACACTACTACTACACTACTACTACCACTACTACTACTACCACTACTACCACTACTACTACTACGACTACTACCACTACTACTACTACCACTACTACTACTACTCACTACTACCACTACTACTACTACTACTACTACTACCACTACTACTACTACTACTACTACTACTACTACTACCACTACTACTACTACCACTACTACCACTACTACTACTACTACTACTACCACTACTACTACTACTACCTACTACCACTATTACTACTACTACCACTACTACCACTACTACTACTACTACTACTAACTACTACCACTACTACCACTACTACCACTACTACACTACTACCACTACTACTACACTATTACTACTACTACTACTACCACTACTACTACCACTACTACTACTACTAGTACTACCACTACTACTACCACTACTACCAACTACTACTACTACTACTACCACTATTACTTTACTACTACCACTAACTACCACTACTACTACTACTACTGAAGCGTCCCTCCTCAGGGGGTTGTCAGCCCAGAGCAGGTCTGTCCTGTAGACAGGTGTGTGGCTGGTGTACTGCTAAGTCGCCGGCTCCTACAGCCAGAGCCCCTTTTGCCATCGGGTCATGACCCCAGGGAGTTGGGGTACGGACCCAATGCCTACTGCACCACGTGGTGGTGGGGTTGGTTTTGCACTGCACTACTACTACTACTACCACTACTACTACTACTACTACTACTACTACTACTACCACTACTACTACCACTACTACCACTACTACCACACTACTACTACTACTACCACTACTACTACTACTACTACCACTACTACCACTACTACTACTACTACTACTACTACCACTACTACTACTACTACTACTACTACAACTACTACTACTACTACTACTACTACAACTACTACTACCACTACTACTACTACTACTACTACTACTACTACTACTACTACTACTACTACCACTACTACTACTACTACTACTACCACTACTACTACTACTACTACTACTACTACTACTACTACTACCACTACTACTACCACTACTACTACTACTACCACTACTACCACTACTACTACTACTACCACTATTACTACTACTACCACTACTACCACTACTACTACCACTATTACTACTACTACCACTACTACTACCACTACTACCACTACTACCACTACTACCACTACTACCACTACTACTACCACTATTACTACTACTACTACTACTACCACTACTACTACCACTACTACTACTACTACTACTACCACTACTACTACCACTACTACTACTACTACTACTACTACTACTACTACCACTACTACTACTACCACTACTACTACTACTACGCATGTCCTTTATGTCCATGGCCTCCTTAGCAACAGTGTGGTTATTCATTGCCTCATATCTGCTGTTTTGTCAGAACAGAAACTGAGATGGAAAAACCCTGAAAACAAAACGATAAAGAACAAGTCAAGTTGAAACCACAGCTTTTAGAAGTTTTTAATCAAACTTTCTGGACTTACTCAGGCCCCGACCTGTGCACACACACTGTACAGTGAACAATGGGTGAGAGAGAGAGAGAGAGAGACTGGGAGGAGTGAGGGACCCAGAGAGAGCGAGAGAAACAGCTGAGTGACTTGTGAAATGAGGAAGGGCAGCTGCAGACACACAGGGACATGCAACAATACCAGACGCAGACTCTAATGCGACGGCTGCAGCGGCAATAACCACTGCTGCTGCTCCTGCTGCTGCTGCTGCTACTGCTGCTGCTGCTGCTGCCCCGAGACACGGCAGACACTTGGATTTACAACTTGCTTTGGATTCGTCTTCTCTGTGTTTGGATTGTTACCTGAGGAACCGGTCGGAAATTACGATAATGAAGAATCCGTAGATATTTTGTTGTTTTGGAACTTTTTATGGACAAAAATTTTAGTTTTTTAGTGTTGAGAGGTAGAACAAAACCTGTAGAATGTTATTTTTGTGAAACTCTATGTAGCCATGGAGTGTTTTTAGTTGATACGATAATACATACTCATAAATTATTAACCTACTTTGGTCTATAAAAGTTGTCCCTCCATAAAATGAAGATAAGATACAACCATATAAGATCCAACTCTGGGCATGGCGTGTTTTTCCCTCGGGTTTTTGAATGTTTTTCCAGCAGTGACATACTTCGATGATGGGACGACGTGCACACTTCTGTTTTTTTGTGGTTGTGACGTGAACTGTGGATGAGGAGCCTTTGGAGCATGGAGGTGAAGTCTCTGTTCAGTCTGCAAAGAGCCCTGGCCCGGCCGGTGCAGATGTGTATGTTTGACTTCCATGTGAGCGTCCTGGACGACCTGGTAAGACCAAGAACACACCACCAAACCATGTGACTTCATTATTAACTACAGTGAGTTTCATCTAATATTCAATATGAAGGACGAAGGCAGTTAGACACAGGTACAGATGGAACTCTGATAAAAGGCTTTGAGTCAGTTATTGTTCGAGTTTGGAGAAATGAATTAATCTGTCACGTGCGGGTAAAATGAAATGAGCCCAAAAATGCAGATATCAAAATCTGTAGAAAACACAGGGACCGAGGACAGAACTGAAACAGACGTGGGATTGAAAATGACGGAACAGGGAGTAAAGGAACACACAGGGTTTAAATACAAGACTAATGGTGCTTTCAGACCGCAAACGCTGAAACGCGGAAGCCCCGCTCACCAGACGCGCATTCTCTAGTTCTCAGACGCAGAGGACTTCACACCAAAACGTCCTGACGCGAGCCGGAAGAATCCGGAAGTAGCCGGCCGGCTCTAATGCTAACAGAACTATGCTAGCGGCTTCTTGTGTACAGATCTTCTCCAATATGCAGCTTTGCAGCGTGTCTTTGAACAGAGACTTTCCACGGGCTTTATACAACAGTAGTATGTGTTCACGGAGGTGCGGCATACGTTTTTTGTATTATTAAACGGCATTTCCGCATCGGCGAACACACTCGAAGCAGTTGCAAAAGGTCACGGGAGCATGACAATGCATATATTTACAAGCACACAGTCCCCCATGGTCAACCCTGGTTTGAGTTCTGAAGCCTGGTGTGGGTCCTGTTTTGGCTGTTTACAGTATGTTTAGTCTGCTCGCTCAGACCCCCACTGTCCCCGTGACCACTTTGCGGCTCTCTGATTGGTCGCTGCAGGAACGTCCCGAGAAAAAGTTGAGCAAAGTTTATCTCTTGTGGGCGTCCATTTTACGCTCCTGCTCCTCCCCTTTCACTTTCCCGCCAAGACACATGAGGGCGAGGCATAAACAGGTGAGACACATGAGGGCGAGGCATAAACAGGTGAGACACATGAGGGCGGGGCATAAACAGGTGAGACACTCGAGGGCGGGGCATAAAACAGGTGAGACACATGAGGGCGGGGCATAAACAGGTGAGACACATGAGGGCGGGGCATAAACAGGTGAGACACTCGAGGGCGGGGCATAAACAGGTGAGACACATGAGGGCGGGGCATAAACAGGTGAGACACATGAGGGCGGGGCATAAACAGGTGAGACACATGAGGGTGGGGCATAAACAGGTGAGACACATGAGGGCGGGGCATAAACAGGTGAGACACATGAGGGCGGGGCATAAACAGGTGAGACACATGAGGGCGGGCATAAACAGGTGAGACACATGAGGGCGGGGCATAAACAGGTGAGACACATGAGGTCGGGGCATAAACAGGTGAGACACATGAGGGCGGGGCATAAACAGGTGAGACACTGAGGGCGGGGCATAAACAGGTGAGACACATGAGGGCGGGGCATAAACAGGTGAGACACATGAGGGCGGGGCATAAACAGGTGAGACACATGAGGGCGGGGCATAAACAGGTGAGACACTGAGGGCGGGGCATAAACAGGTGAGACACATGAGGGCGGGGCATAAACAGGTGAGACACATGAGGTCGGGGCATAAACAGGTGAGACACATGAGGGCGGGGCATAAACAGGTGAGACACTGAGGGCGGGGCATAAACAGGTGAGACACATGAGGGCGGGGCATAAACAGGTGAGACACATGAGGGCGGGGCATAAACAGGTGAGACACATGAGGGCGGGGCATAAACAGGTGAGACACATGAGGGCGGGGCATAAACAGGTGAGACACTGAGGGCGGGGCATAAACAGGTGAGACACTGAGGGCGGGGCATAAACAGGTGAGACACTGAGGGCGGGGCATAAACAGGTGAGACACTGAGGGCGGGGCATAAACAGGTGAGACACTGAGGGCGGGGCATAAACAGGTGAGACACTGAGGGCGGGGCATAAACAGGTGAGACACTGAGGGCGGGGCATAAACAGGTGAGACACTGAGGGCGGGGCATAAACAGGTGAGACACTGAGGGCGGGGCATAAACAGGTAGACACTGAGGCGGGGCATAACAGGTGAGACACATGAGGGCGGGGCATAAACAGGTGAGACACATGAGGGCGGGCATAAACAGGTGAGACACATGAGGGCGGGGCATAAACAGGTGAGACACATGAGGGCGGGGCATAAACAGGTGAGACACTGAGGGCGGGGCATAAACAGGTGAGACACATGAGGGCGGGGCATAAAGAGGTGAGACACATGAGGGCGGGGCATAAAGAGGTGAGACACATGAGGGCGGGGCATAAACAGGTGAGACACATGAGGGCGGGGCATAAACAGGTGAGACACATGAGGGCGGGGCATAAACAGGTGAGACACATGAGGGCGGGGCATAAACAGGTGAGACACATGAGGGCGGGGCATAAACAGGTGAGACACTGAGGGCGGGGCATAAACAGGTGAGACACATGAGGGCGGGGCATAAACAGGTGAGACACATGAGGGCGGGGCATAAACAGGTGAGACACATGAGGGCGGGGCATAAACAGGTGAGACACTGAGGGCGGGGCATAAACAGGTGAGACACATGAGGGCGCTGTACACAAAATACTTAGGAAGGAGAGGAGTGCACACAATCCCAGACCTGGGCACGTAACACAGGATAATGATGTGCCTTTGGGTTTTTTCCCACAGTAGGGAAATTTCAATGTTGCAACGCACAGACAGGACAGTAGAAAGAGACACAGGGATCACACAAAATGTACAATATAAGAGCTGCTGTGTTTCTTAGCTGTAAATGCTTCAATATCAATCATTCAAAATATCTATTTTTGTAGTGAGTAAGTAAGTCATGTTTATTTACATAGAGCATTTTACAGTCCAAGGTCCCCCAAAGCGCTTTACAATGTTCAGAAATCATATTTTTAACCGTTTGCCTCACACACGGTGATGATGGAAGCGAGACGCCGAACACACTGGACCATCAAAGCCTCCGACCAAACACCATCCATCCATTCACTCATTCATTCATATATTCATACCTATTGTGCATGTTTTTAGTGGTAGGGGAAACCGGAGCACCCCGAGGAAACCTACACAGGCACTGGGAGAACATGTAAACTCCACTCATAAAGGCCCTGTTCCGACCAGGATTTGAACCCAGGATCTCCTTGCTGAGAAGCGAGAGTGCAGAGTTATATACATATATAGGGTAATGAGTAGATAAAGTGACATTCTGAAGTTGCAGTATTTACTATTTATGAATGACATGTACAGAGTCAGCAGTTCTCATCGTACAGTCTGACAGCAGGAAGTACAAAAGACCTGTAGAACCTTATCAGTTCAGGCCTCAAAAGCTCAGACGGAGGACAGAAAAAGGGACCAGAACAGACACCTCCTGGTCTCTGAGGACACGCCTGAATGTTAGTGTGGGACTAGAACAGACACCTCCTGGTCTCTGAGGACACGCCTGAATGTTAGTGTGGGACTAGAACAGACACCTCCTGGTCTCTGAGGACACGCCTGAATGTTAGTGTGGGACCAGAACAGACACCTCCTGGTCTCAGAGGACACGCCTGAGTGTTAGTGTGGGACTAGAACAGACACCTCCTGGTCTCTGAGGACAGGCCTGAATGTTAGTGTGGGACTAGAACAGACACCTCCTGTTCTCTGAGGACAGGCCTGAATGTTAGTGTGGGACTAGAACAGACACCTCCTGGTCTCTGAGGACACGCCTGAATGTTAGTGTGGGACCAGAACAGACACCTCCTGGTCTCTGAGGACAGGCCTGAATGTTAGTGTGGGACCAGAACAGACACCTCCTGGTCTCTGAGGACAGGCCTGAATGTTAGTGTGGGACCAGAACAGACACCTCCTGGTCTCTGAGGACAGGACTGAGTGTTAGTGTGGGACTAGAACAGACATCTCCTGGTCTCTGAGGACAGGCCTGAATGTTAGTGTGGGACCAGAACAGACACCTCCTGGTCTCTGAGGACACGCCTGAGTGTTAGTGTGGGACCAGAACAGACACCTCCTGGTCTCTGAGGACACGCCTGAATGTTAGTGTGGGACTAGAACAGACACCTCCTGGTCTCTGAGGACAGGCCTGAATGTTAGTGTGGGACTAGAACAGACACCTCCTGGTCTCTGAGGACAGGACTGAGTGTTAGTGTGGGACCAGAACAGACACCTCCTGGTCTCTGAGGACAGGCCTGAGTGTTAGTGTGGGACTAGAACAGACACCTCCTGGTCTCTGAGGACAGGCCTGAATGTTAGTGTGGGACCAGAACAGACACCTCCTGGTCTCTGAGGACAGGCCTGAGTGTTAGTGTGGGACTAGAACAGACACCTCCTGGTCTCTGAGGACACGCCTGAATGTTAGTGTGGGACCAGAACAGACACCTCCTGGTCTCTGAGGACAGGCCTGAGTGTTAGTGTGGGACTAGAACAGACACCTCCTGGTCTCTGAGGACAGGCCTGAATGTTAGTGTGGGACTAGAACAGACACCTCCTGGTCTCTGAGGACAGGCCTGAGTGTTAGTGTGGGACCAGAACAGACACCTCCTGGTCTCTGAGGACAGGCCTGAATGTTAGTGTGGGACCAGAACAGACACCTCCTGGTCTCTGAGGACAGGCCTGAATGTTAGTGTGGGACTAGAACAGACACCTCCTGGTCTCTGAGGACAGGCCTGAATGTTAGTGTGGGACCAGAACAGACACCTCCTGGTCTCTGAGGACAGGCCTGAATGTTAGTGTGGGACTAGAACAGACACCTCCTGGTCTCTGAGGACAGGCCTGAGTGTTAGTGTGGGACTAGAACAGACACCTCCTGGTCTCTGAGGACAGGCCTGAGTGTTAGTGTGGGACCAGAACAGACACCTCCTGTTTATATTTAGAGCTGCTGAATACTTTGAGGCCAGTGACTCAGGGATTTACGGTCTAGAAGCTGCTCCCCAGGACAGACCTCTGACACTATCTGGATCTGGAGCCACACATGGTCCCTCCTTCTGTCCATAGTATACTGGAACCATCGGTGCAACTGGAACCATCAGTGTAGTTGTTGTGCGGCTCTCGTCTGACTGCGTTTCCCCGAGAACGAGTTTGGTCTTGTCTGGTCCCAGGAGAGAACACAAACAAATACAGATAACACCCAAAGTCTTCTGAAGCTACGATAACATCTGTTTTTCTCTATTTTATTTCCTTGAGGGCTCTGAAAAAGTAGATTTATGAAAACAACAAAAACAATATCGCTCATTTAAGAAAAACAATGTATTATGGACTTAAGTGTGTGTGTGTGTGTGGTTGTGTGTGTGTGTGTGTGGTTGTTACTGTTAGAAACACAGAATCTCCTGCTGTGTTTTTAGATCATACATTGTCTGAGGGTGCTTTCACACCTGCACCATTTAGTCCACTTAAAGCGGACTGGAGTCTGGAACACCTGCAAGTACGGTTCGTTTGAGCAGGTGTGAAAGTGGACCAGTTAAATTTGGTCCGGACTAAAGAACCGCACCGAGACCACCCAATGGTGGTCTCGGTGCGGTTCCATGTGGACTCCAGTCTGGTTTGCTGCTGGTGAGAACGCAGACCGGCCTCGATATGGCCCTGCTCTGTTGCGTAGCTCACGTTTTGACACACACATTGTTTTTTTATATGATAGAATCGTCAAAAACACCCACAGATTGTTCTCGTGCTGAATCCGCGATACATACTGGAACAACAGTATTTGTGCTGCACAAAGCAACGATGATAAAAAATATCCAAAAAACGCAGAGTAGCACAGTCACATACGTCATCCAATACACAGTATTTTGTGAACAGCGCCACCACATGGGCAGAATATGTAACATCCACAGGTTGGTTCATTTGCAAAAACACTGGTGTGAATGAGAACCAAACTAGTTGAGAACTGCAACATTGTAACAACTTTAGGGCCCAAGCGAACCACTTTACTGGACCAACAGGTGTGAAAGCCCCCTGAGCGTCTGTCAAATGTTTTTCGCTCTCTTCCAAAGCACTGAACCCTTTAGGCACCAGAGGTTTGATGTGAAACCAGTGTCAGGGGTTGGTAGTCCAATCCTGGCCGTAAGGAGGCGTTCTGACATTCTGTATTCTGATGTTGAGTCCTGGATCTACAGCCCTCTCTCTGTGAGCGGATCCGTCGCTCACCGAGGTTTCTCATTTTATCCCTGTTATCATGAATAAGTAATAATATAACCATGTAGTAATGTTGGTATATAGATAGATTTAATGACACTTAAACATTACATACAGGCATGAACAAGAAAATCCAAGAAGGGAGATTGGAGTTTGAACTGAATGTCAGGAACGAGAGCTCTCATGAAGCTCATTTATACCTAGGATGACATCACATGTGAGGTCACCCTTGATTGGTTCAGGTGTAAGCCGGGACCAAGAGGTGTCCTGGAGGGAGGGGCCAGAGGACAATGGGGAAGGCCGGTGGATGACATTCTACAACATCAACATTCACGGACATTGGGCTCTCCTATGGACCAATACATATGTGTATTTCATGTGTCTTAACTGTTGGTTCTCTGATCTGTGGTGATTTCAATGGTTTTGTTAAGTCTCTGAGATGATGCTGTTGTGGTTTAGGGCTAGACAAGAATAAGTTGTATTGTATTGTATGACAGGAAATCCAGGCTCACACTCCCACTGGGTTTTCAGAGTTGTCAATGACATTTATGGACTTAATCAACGTTTGTGGACATTGATCATCTGGTCATAATTTTTTCCATTGTATTCTCTGCGTTGGGAAATGAACTGGTTTTGTACAGTCCATCCTATAACCACATATAACTACTATTGGGATTTAGGGCAATACAAGTTTAAACTGAATTGAATGTGATTCTTAGTTCTGAGTAAACAAGAGCTCTGCAAAACATGGCTCTAGTCTCAGCCATAACATACTCATGTGTCAGTTGATGAGTATGTTATGGCTTTGTTGTGTGGATCCAAATAATCAGTTTTATCTTCTTGATGTGTGCTTTGAAGGAGAGTTTGTACAACGCTGCTAGAACCTCCGGCCTGTGTTTTGACTCATAATCTGTGCCAGTGCAGTCAGACGATGCTCACACCTCTGACTCTGAATGGATTTGTATTTGGCTGTGATCGTGCTGGTCTTGCTAGGCTAGGCTAGGCTAGGCTAACATGTAAACACGCTGCAGAGTGAGTCGTCTGTCGTGGTCCGCGTCCGGATCATGTTTCTTTTGACCCAGATTCTTTCAGGAGCTAAACTTTTGTCATGGTCAAACCCGGCCGAGAATACACCACGACGTCACACTTTAGTAATAATAATATACAAGATCTAAAAAGTGTTCAGAGCATTCGATATGTTTGTTTTGTAGCAGTCCTGACTTCGGTTCGTGTTCCTGGTTGAGTCGAGGTGATTTTTTGCAGATTTACAGTTTGTTATTTATATCTGCCAGACATAAATCCTGAGCCGCCGCCGCTCGGACTCAGACAGAACCATTACTGCTCCGTGTGCGTCCAGATCTAATGCTTTAATGAAAATGTGATTGTTCAGGAATGTTCCACAGTTTGTCGTTAGATGTAGAACTTTCCACACTTTAAGCCAAGTTACAGGTCAGGTCTGTGGCGCGGTGAGCTGTTCGGAGTTAATGTTAGAACAATCATACTTTTTATTTCGTAGGCGTTTTTCTAGATGCTCAAGGTCGTCTAATATCAGAAGTAAAAGTACAGTTAGTTAAAATACAAGTTAAAGTAACAATAAGTAAGATTTTCGTCTGTCATCATTAAAGGGCCCTAATCTGTGATCATTAAAGGGCCCTAATCTGTGATCATTAAAGGGCCCTAATCTGTCATCATAAAAGGGCCCTAATCTGTGATCATCTGTCATCATTAAAGGGCCCTAATCTGTCGTCATTAAAGGGCCCTAATCTGTCATAATTAAAGGGCCCTAATCTGTCATCATTAAAGGGCCCTAATCTGTGATCATTAAAGGTAAGTAGTAAGTAGTAAGTAAGTAATCTTTATTTATATACCACCTTTTCACTGCAGATCTGAGTCTCAAAGCGGTTTACAATTGTTAATTATGGGCATTTGTTTCTCACTCCACACAGAGATGGGAGCGGGGTCGCCAGTACAGGAGGCGCATGTCAGGCCTATTGGGCATATTTTTAGTGGTAGGGGAAACCGGAGTACCCGGAGGAAACCTACGCAGACACGGGGAGAACATGCAAACTCTACTCAGAAAGGCCCTGGTCCGACCGGGATTCGAACCCAAGACCTTCTTGCTGAGAGGCGAGAGTGCTACCCACTCAGCCACCGTGCTGCCCATTATTAAAGGGCCCTAATCTGTGATCATTAAAGGGCCCTAATCTGTGATCATTAAAGGGCCCTAATCTGTCATCATTAAAGGGCCCTAATCTGTCATCATTAAAGGGCCCTAATCTGTCATCATTAAAGGGCCCTAATCTGTCATCATTAAAGGGCCCTAATCTGTGATAATTAAAGGGCCCTAATCTGTCATCATTAAATGGCCCTAATCTGTGATCATTAAAGGGCCCTAATCTGTCATCATTAAATGGCCCTAATCTGTGATCATTAAAGGTCCCTAATCTGTCATCATTAAAGGTCCCTAATCTGTCATCATTAAAGGGCCCTAATCTGTGATCATTAAAGGGCCCTAATCTGTGATCATTAAAGGGCCCTAATCTGTCATTAAAGGGCCCTCACTCTTAATCTCACTGGTAAAGTACCATGTGGACACAGAGCTCTGAACCAAAGTAAAATGCTAAATGCTTTTTTAGCATGTTTCTAAAAGTTAGCATTCCTCCAGTGGATTTTCTGCTTGATCCTCTTGGACCATGAATCCTCTCGAGGAACTTAACAGCTGGTTTTCTTTTCTTTTCTATCATTTTTAACAAATTACGTTTGGATATTATTTTCTAGCAGAATTGGATTCAACCATAACTGGGTCAAAATACATAGACTGTATATATTAATGGACTGAGTCACGCCTATCTCCGCCGTTCTAACTAATGGGCCAAAAAATGTGCTCTACTGGAGCAATCAAAAATGGCCGCGAGTGGTCCCGCCCACAAGAAAATTGCGAAAAAACGCATCTGTGCATGAGTCAGCCGGCGCAGCTCCATTCATTTGAACGAAAGACTTAAAAAATTCACAGCAAGTAAACTAGAGTGGACCAAATAAATCCACCCCCCTCAGCATTGACACACATGTGGAACGGAGCTTTGGGCCAAGAGCCAACTTTTGGACCATCCTGTAAAGACGTTTTTGAGAGGTCTGCTAACGCTATATGTTAGCATTGGCTAATTCTCCTTCTGGGTCCACCCCCACAGGCCCGGGGTGGTATTGCAGCATGTCAGCGCACGTCATTTTGGACACTTTTGAGCTGGGACCCTCCCACACTGGACAAATATTAAGAAGAGAAGGTTTGAAAAACTGATTGTTAAATATTATTAATTAAATAACTCGAACTTAATATTATTTTCAGTTCATATTTTAGAACAACCTTCATTATCTGGGGGTTTTCGTGATAAACGTATAACATCCTATAGTAGCACGGTACCATCAATGCTGCAAGTTAGAAAACCCTGAAGAGAAGGTCGTCACTAATGAGTCACACACAGTTCAGCCGTTTATGGTCCTAAGAATCTTAAACAGATTCATCTCAGAGGACTTTAAACAACACGGATCAGAAAATCAGAGACCAATGACCATAACGAGCAGAGACCATAAGGAGCAGAGACCATAAGGAGCAGAGACCAGTGACCAGAAGGAGCAGAGCATGAATCAGAAATTCAGCCTCCCCAAGTTTAGTCCTGACTCTGGGACCAGCAGGAGTCCAGTCCCTGTGCTCCTCATAGTCCCAGCAGGAGTCCAGTCCCTGTGCTCCTCAGAGATCCAGCAGGAGGCCAGTCCCTGTGCTCATCAGAGTCCCAGCAGGAGGCCAGTCCCTGTGCTCCTCAGAGATCCAGCAGGAGGCCAGTCCCTGTGCTCCTCAGAGATCCAGAAACACTCGGCTGTA